TTAATAATAAATTAATAGTATATCACCAATTACATATCATTTAATAAGAAAAGAACTAAAACCTGAAAGTAAATGCTGTATACAATAAATATTTCTCATCATGAACATGTCTTTAGGTCTAATATTTTTTTCTAAAATACTATAAAGTTGAGAAAAAAAAACCCACACTATTATTTAAGACATATTTGTAATGAAATGCCAATGTTATTTTTTATTATACTGTGTAGACAAAAAATCAATATATCTATAAAACAATAAAATATTTTTTACTTTCTCTGGTCACATTTATAATACAATAGTTAATTCAGTAAAATATTGATTTAACTATTTATAGTTTCACGGAGCTTTTCAAAGTGGGTGACCGATGTAAGGCAGTACATAGCAAGTCTAGTGATTTGTCTTGTCCAGCTGTGTGTGCACTACCTCACTATCATAAGACTCAACTCCTACCTAATGAAGCATAATGCATCATAATACCACTATTTTGATACTGGGATCTTTTTTTTGATGTTCATTTTATCTATACATTCACGAGATGCACTAAACCTATATTCAGATTTTTTTAATTTTACTTTTCTATACTTTTATTGTATGTGCCATTGTAGTAGTCCTTATTACTGCAAGAATGATCATTATTATATTATTATTACAATCAAAACTAAGCACTAAACTCACAAGGGTCATAGAGGCACGAAGAAAGAAAGTCACAATACTGAGGAAAGAACAATTTACAACTATCAATAATTTAGAGATGCAACTATTGCACAGACAATATTGTGGTCTCTACTCTAACCTTGTTCAAGTTTTCTCTCCAAGCTGCAAGTTAGTTGTGATTTATTACTGCAATGAAGTCTTATTTCTAAGGGCCTAACAAAAAATATTTAATAAATTAACTAAGGAATGGTTTTTATCCATCAATACATGACAAGATAACCAGAATGCAACTGTCATATGAGATAATGAGATTACTGGTCATTATTTGCAAGCACAGATCATCATCAAACCAATGACAACAATTTTTCATATATTAAAATAATGCATTTGAGAATATTCAATAGGCAAGTGCTTAATCAATATCAAAGGTATTTATTTTGTTAAATTTCAAAGCAATATTTTTAAAAGATTTTAGAAAACAGGTGACTAGTCTTCTTCCTCCATGTCAACACAGCAAATATTTCAATCTGACTTCCTGTGAGAACCAGTTATGCAATAATTTATAAGCAAATATATAAAAGCCTTACTTCCATAAGATTAAGCATTCCAATTACAATACACGTTATTTCACACATTAAAGGCACGACGGTGCAAACAAAACTCAAAATTATTATTATAGCAATTAAACTAACCGCTAAACCCAGATCAAATCTTAAAGCCTCTTCACTATCACCATCTTTGGAAGCAGGTGCTGAGTGACCTTCAAATCTTTCAATGATAACCATCTTCACATGCTTCACTCTTAATTGTGAAAGATGTAAAACATTTGTGCATAAATGTTGCAAGCTGATCTGTTAATTGCATGCAATACAATTCCCAACTGCAGCTACTTGCCTCAATTCTAAAAGCAATGATTAATGAAAAAACTGCAAAGTAGAAATGCATAACAAAGTAAAAACAATGAAAAGATTTAGCTAGTAAAAACAAGCTCAAAATATCTAGGTTGTTTCTGCATTAATTAGAAGGGTGGCACAATGTGTATCATCCTGGCCCATTATTATTATATTTATGGGGGAGGGGGAAGCAATAAACCCATAAGGGTTATACAGCACCTTTCAAAATGAGAGGCAATCAGGTTTGATCCAAGGAAAGTCAGGTTCAATTCCTTGAATCAAGAGCACCTTGCTACCATCAGGTAGCCTCCTTAACCCTTTGACTGTCGCAACCCCCAATCCTGAGGTGTCTCCTGGTGTCGCAAAAAAAAAAAAAAAAAAAAAAAAAAAAAAAAATCTTATGAAATGATAGAGAATCTTTTCCCGATCGTAAAGACACCAAAAAAAAAAACGAAATTTGATGGAAAACTGACGGAATTACACTCTTGCGAAGTTAGCGACCTCGGCGATATTTACAAATCGGCGATTTCGCCCACTTTGAGCCCTATTTTCGGCTAATTCCATTATTCCAGTCAACCAAGCTCATAGCTATTTCTTCAGAACTCCATTTTTTCCATCGATTGAGTACAAGAAACTGCCCATTTACCAATTCCAACTACCCAATAACATGGTCAGAAATTTGCAATTTGGCCAATTTCACGAAAATTAAAAAATATGACAATTTCGAAATAAGGTCCAGAATGAACAATGCAGACATTCCTGGCTCTAAAATAACATTTTCTTTGTTCATCAGTCATGTCTCCAGGCCCCTCTGATATTACTTTTGCTTTTTATTTTGAAATTTTATTCAAACAAAAAATAGATTTACTGTTATGCAGACTACTGCAATACTGTAATGATTGTAAAAATTACATCAACCCATTCATGACTGCATATTAGAATGGCTATTTGGACATTTATTGGACAATGACATCATTTGTTTACTTTTGAACATCGGCAAAAATCAAACATTTCCCCTTCTTTGTGCTCCATTTCCAGGTTCTTTTTATAGTAAAATTAATCAAAATCACCTCTATTTCTATAATATAGTTTCCATTCTATCAAATGAGACCAAGAAAACGAGAATACAACCACAAATACTATACGAAAATAGACCACAAAGTCGGCATTTTAATTAAAAAAAAAAAATGGTCGGAGTTTTTTTTTCTCATTATGCACTGCGTGCTCCAGGATTTTTTCTATATGGTGCACACTGACCACACAGACCCATTCTCTCACATGTGGGCCTACCAGCTTTCTCCTGCCTGATTTGAAGCCGCTAGAATTTATGAGTATATATACGTCAAACACGGTGCCTCGTAAACGTATATATACGGCCGCGACAGTCAAAGGGTTAAAGGGATGGCTTCCCAGTATAGATATCTTCCCAACTTTATTTTGCTTGTACACCCATTTCTCCTCTTCATTGATATCCATTTTTATTTGTATCCTCCAGTCGCTGTAGCTACTGAACCCACAGTGGAATGCTTGACGACATCCTCATCACCTTACTGAAATCTAATAGCTTAAACTGACACCTCATTGCCTAATGCAGGAGACCCATCCTGTGACTGAATGTCAAGAAATCTTATCAATGTTTTGTTCCTACCATCTTATTGTCACACACAACAGCAAGTCTATGTATTTACAAAAGCTTAGTCTATTATATAGAACAGAAGAGTAGCACAATTCTGATATATATCTGGAGGGTGTTTTGGGGTCAACGCCCCATAGCCCAGTCCATTTCCAGGCCTCACGGTGGATCAGGGCCTGATCAACAAGCCTGTTAATAACAACCAGCCTGTTGCTATTGGCTACACATAAGCCTAACTGGTCAGGTACTGACTTTATGTGCCTGTCCAGCTCCCTTTTGAAGACCTAAATTTATTCAATAAAAATCCTTGAACATATCCTGCCACCTTGCTCAGCACATCCCTTATCCCAATTTATCCCACTTATCACTTTCTTTCATATTCCCAAAACCCTTTACTAATTGGTCACTATTTTACTGTTGTTTTTGTGTTATGATATTTTGAAAGTAGCAAAACAAGTGAGAAAGTATGAATGAGAGCAAAGAGGCATATAATGAAGTGCAAGGAAAGATTATGGGAAAAAAAAGGGGATTTGGTCAAGAGGCAATTAAAGTAATTTTTGAAAAAGTGTGAAATTATATGAAAGATAACTAACATACTGCAGTATAAATGTGACCCAAGAAATCAGTTTCACTGGACAGAAAACAATTAAGTTATCACTATATAATAATAGCAACTCCATCTACTGGCTGCCAAGGAAAATAATTTGATAAGCAAAATATAATTCTCCAATTACCATGAGATAGCTCTGCCAAAGCAGCACATATTACTCTGAAAATTTGTGATAATTTGTTCAAATCATCTGTAGATGCAACTGCAGAGAAAGATCACCCTTTTCAGTGTTTTTATATATATCATAGGTAAGGTAAATTGAAATTTATAAATGTGGTATGTCTCACATTTGAACGAGGCGTTGAAGCTGGAACACATTAACCGAGCCCTCGACTGTCATGAAAGATCAACCTTCACATTCTTGTTGTATGCTACACAGTGTCCTCAAGCAACCTAACAAGTGAGTATTGAGCTAGTAACAGCCATCTCTCTCGAGTACATAACTGACCACAGATAGCTTGCTATCGACTGTTACACAATAGAGATCTAGACGTCTTTTTAATACTGTACCTAGTGTATCAAAGTGTCGCAGTTTAAAATTATAACAAGTATGCAATATACACTTTATGAACTACTCTACTACTACAGCACTTTCTAAATGTATTAAGTGTGCAGGCATGAGTTAATGATACAGAACTGTATGACAAGCAAATACAAGACTAGAATGAAAAATGGTGTTTAGAAGAACAAGTCAATACTGTAGATGGAAAAATTCACAACCCAAAATTTGGAGAGCAAACTGATGTATCACCTGACTTATTCCTCTCCTCTTTGACTACAGATGCTTCTTGCTTTACAATGATTCCACTAAAGATATTTTGACTATGATGGTGCAATAACGATGCACATTTTGTACTGTACAATATTGTACATTTATTGATAGGATAACTTGCATTCATTGATTTACTTTTAAATACTGGTATTTAGTTACAGTAATTATTTATTTACTTACTCAGAAACATTAGTTATTTATTTATCATATCATATATATTCTACTTACGATACTTTCAACTTACGATGGGTTCACCATAATGTAACCCCACCATAAGTCAAGCACCTGTAGTCTTATTTTTAGGACTGACTTGCCATGAATTTGAGCCCTCCATGGGACAAAGTTCCTCTCCTCTTCACCTGACCTGTCTTCTGCCTTCTTCTTTTCTCTTTCTTTTCGTTGGGACTATAATGATCTAGGACAAACCAAAATTTTGTCCTAGTTTCCTCTCCAGACTATGGGTTAATTACAAACAACGTATAGAGTAGAATGAAACACAGCTGGCATATAACTGCACTGTGAGACAAATGAGACACTCGACATTTGTAATGATACGACAGTCTCATAGGTACCGGAGTGGTGTCAACACTGGTGCAATAGTTAACACTTGCAGGGTAACAATGAGCTGACAGACAGTATATATGCTAATCATTTCAGACATGATACACAAGGTGGATTACAAGTGATGATATCCAAGAGATGACAGAGGAAAGAGACATGAGTAGTGATGTAACACTGATTTGTATAAGTAACCACAAGCAGATGACATGGGCATAGGCATGAATGAAAACAAATAAGATTGGATCACTTTCTTAAAGAAAGCAATTATGAAACAATGAACATTTTCCACAGAGGGGTGCTGGATTTAAAGACCTGTACACCCAAGTGTAAACTCAAAATATAAACCTGGCTTGGCTTGTCTGCTGATCTGCCATGCACCTTATAAGGTCAGTTCACAATAATAACCTTGAAATAATAAGAAAATTGACATGCTTTAAAAGGGATGTATAAGTGGCTTGTGCATTATGAAAAGTAGAATATTGTGCATCAATATTAATTACAAAACATTTAAGGAACAACCTAAAATGGGTCATACTGTAATACATACAGCTGACAATTATATTACATATCATTCAAAGCCATCACAAATACTATAATCAATGTTGTGCATAGGCAATCATTCGCTATCAAAATATGGCATTTATCGCCACTGTTGTACAAAGTTCACCTTATGGGCAGAGTATTGAACTTCATTAGAAACCAGACAGGATGCTCCTCTATCCCAAATATTAGGAAAATAATATGCTCCCATTAAAATAGCTTATACATTTCATATATTACTATTGTCCGTTTCATCAACGCCAATAATAAACATTAATTTCATAATTTATAATATTTGTATATCACTCTTTCTGTATTAAAAATGAGATGCATTGACTCACACACTCAACTAACCATGGAAAGTCAAGCTCACTTTAAAAAAAAAAAAATACAAAGGGGTTTGTACAATGTCATCAGTGTCTTGTCATTAATATTTTAATGTTAAAGCAAAGATTGAAAATATGACAGTAGAGCTAAACGCCCTTATTTCAGAAAAGTCTTTATCTACTGTACATCAAGTTTTCTTATCTTTCTCTCTAAATTTTTTTAAATATAGCTAAAACCACTGAAAAAAAAAAAACATTTATGTTCTAAAGGAAGTATTTAAGACATTTACACAAGAATATTGGGAACAGAAGATACCACACTGTCCTTTTAACGTGAAAAGGCAGTAGTCAACGAGGCATTAGATAAAATATTGACAAACCTAATTTGTTTTAGACATATGGTATAAAAAAAAATAGATATATATTATAAGGTCTTTCATATATTTCTGTGACAACACACATGCAAGCACGTACACATGGTATTTCTCTAATAACTATCAAAAAATTCTCTCCTCTCACACATTAATTATAATTGAAAGTTAATATATTTCCAAGACACACTCTTATAGGGGCTGAAAGGGCTTTATACCCTGCCTCCCTCGCTCCTGCTGCTCACACATCTGAAAAACAATTAAAAAATAATTTATTACAATTGTTGAAAGGTATGTTACCAGTCCTATAAATATTGTCATCACATTTGAGAGAAAATACTAAATCCCTACAAGTCATATAGTGCTTGGGGAATGGTAGGAAATGAAGTTTGATTATGAGGAGGAGGAGAAGTCCAATTCCAAGAATCAAAAGACTCTTACCAGCACCAAGGAACCTCCTTTGAGGGGTATAAATAATATACTTTATTAAAAAATGACTAATATGATATATTGGGTAAAAGAATTCTTCCTCTATAGCCATGCGTGCTGTAAGAGGTGACTAAAATGCCGGAAGCATGGGGCTAGTAACCCCTTCTCCTGTATACATTATTAAGTGTAAAAAAGAAAAAGAGCTTTATAAGGTTTTTCTCCTTTTTTGAATCATTCTGCCTTGGCAGAAGAAGACCAGTATGTTGAAAACACACACAAAAAATTATTGGGTGCTGAGTAGTGCACTCTTATTGTTTATCTAAGATAGTCATATGTATAGCTTTGTTAACCCTTCAGGGTGGATCCTGTTGTACTAAGGCTTAAAGCCCAGGGTCAGTCCCGTAGTTCCATGCCATGAGCTCAGCTCACTCAGATAAGCTGTGAGCAGTAAAGATCCACCAAATTACAACCTAGCACTAAGAATGTAGGCAATGCACAGTACCTCCCACCTCCAGCATGCAAGTTTGGCTACACAAGTTACATGAATCCCTTCATAAATATTAGTTTGCTCACACACCAACAGCACAACAAATCTCAAAAACTCCTTGTCTCCACTCACACCAAGCTAAAATGTTTACAAATGTTTGCTCTCACCATTCTATATTTGCTAGCAGCATTTCTGCTTTCCTTTTCCTTTTTTAGGATTATGAAGACGCACTGGGTCACTTGTGTTGGTCTGCCTATCTCTCTGCTCCTTCTTTGTTTGTAACACCATCTTAGTCATCACTGTGAACATCTGCAATGTTACAAGTATAATTACACAACTAATAATCAAATATGACACCCTAACTTGGCAGGAGACAGCCCTAGAGTTAAAAAAAAAAAAAAAAAAGTGAAATCATTTTCACAACTAATAATGAATAAACAAAAGGATGGATGAGGGGCTCGAACCATGATCCATAAATTGACAGTCCACTGCTCTGTCCTGGCCGCCTGGGCTTCTAATAGGAAGGACCACAGTTTGAGCTCCTCGTCCATCCTTCTCTTTATTCATCAAGCTGTTTATTACAACTTAATCTGAGTTCATCACTAATAATGTATAAAAATGTATAGGTGGTAAATTAACATTTAATGTACAGTGGAGCCCCGAGTTTCGTGATTAATCCGTTCCAGAAAGCCTGGTGAATGTTGAAATTGCCGAATGGCGAAACCATTTTCCCCCAATGAAAAGCAGGGGTGTCACTAGCACGTTAAGAGACCATACAATAAGTGTCAGGCGCCCGAGACTGTTCAACTGCCTCCCAGCATACATAAGGGGGATTACCAACAGACCCCTGGCAGTCTTCAAGCTGGCACTGGACAAGCACCTAAAGTCGGTTCCTGACCAGCCGGGCTGTGGCTTGTATGTTGGTTTGCGTGCAGCCAGCAGCAACAGCCTGGTTGATCAGGGTCTGATCCACCAGGCGGCCTGGTCACAGACCGGGCCGCGGGGGCGTTGACCTCCGGAACTCTCTCCAGGTAAACTCCAGGTAGGAAATAATGGAAATAAAATTAATCAGTTCCCGACACCCAAAAATATTAAAATAAAATATTTTTTTCAAATTAAATAAAGATTTACATACTGAAAACAATGAGAAATCAAGTACATACATATAAAAAATAATAACATTACACTTACCTTTACTGAAGACTTCTGGGTAGATGGAAGACGGGAGGAGGAGATAGGAGGAAGGTGTACACTATTGTTTGGAAGGAGAATCTCCTTCCATTAAGACATCAGGTATGAAGTTCTTATCTGGGGTTACTTCCCTTCTTTGTTTTTTAAAGACACTGGGAACAACTTGAGAGTCACTGGACCCCTGTCGCACAAAATATCTGTCCAGAGAACTCTGTTGCTGGCGTTTCTTTAAGATTTGTCTGAAGTGGGGCACAACACTGTCATTGTACATGCTGCCAACACGGCCTACAACAGCTTTGTTAGGGTGAAGTTCATCCATAAATGTCGGCACTTAAGTCCACTTTGCACAAATGTCCTTAATCTTTGAAGAAGACGATCTCTTTTTTGTCAGCATATCTACCCCTTTTGCAAGAACAGCACACTTCATTTCCTTTCCCTTCGCCACGATCGAAGTGATGGTTGAATGGGGTTTGCCATACATCCTGGCAAGTTCTGTAACACGCACTCCGCTCTCATATTTTTCAATAATTTCCTTCTTGAATTCGATCATGTTCCTCACTTTCTTTACCAAAGGGCTTGCACTAGCTTTCCTTGGGCCCATGGTGACTTATTTAGCAGTTGCAATCACAAAAAACAGTGGATTATTACGAAATGTATTGTATGAACTTGTGGGGTGATGGTCACGTGCTGGTAAACAATGGCACACTGAGCGTGAATAGTGCGGGAGACTGGCTTTGTGTGTGTGGTGACGGGCGGACGGGTACCAGACAGTCGCCGAATCACAAGTCTAATCACGAACCGCGAGGCTAAATTTAGCTGAAAAAACTTGCCGAAAGTCGGATTTCATGAAACTCGATGCCGTTAAAACTCGGGGGTCCACTGTACTTAGATATGTACATGCATCTCAAAAAAAAATGCAAAATAAATTGACTCTCTATGATTCTAATTAAATAAATGAAGCCATATCTATTTATATTCACACTACAAAAGCTTGTAAAATGTATACTATTTTATTTTTGTATTTTTTTTCAAAAGTTAATGAAGTCCAAAATTATGCAAGCTTTACATATTAGCAAAAAACAGACTCCAGGAAGAGGAATTCTCACAGCTCAGATGCTGTAACATTTGGCACCATAACAAATTTTATTAAGAAAACATTTGCAGTCATAACAGACCTCTATACTCACATAGAAGAGCTAAATGATGGGAGTTCATACCTTAATATATTATATGTAACTATGTATGGATAGGATTGCTGATGTCTTTTGTCTGTCTCATAAATATGCAAGATTACAGGCATGTCTTGCTACTTCTACTTACACTTAGGTCACACTACACATACATGTACACATTTATTTATACACACTCATCTGAGTTTTCTTTGATTTTATCTTAATAGTTCTTGGTCTTATTAATTTTCCTTTTATATCCATGGGGAAGTGGAATAAGAATCTTTCCTCCGTAAGCCATGCGTGTTGTAAAAGTCAACTAAAATGCCGGGAACAATGGGCTAGTAACCCCTTTTCCTGTAAAGATTACTAAAAAGAATAAGAAGAAGAAAAAATTGTCAAAGTGGGAAGTCTGAATGTGCGTGGATGTTGTGCAGATGATAAGAAAGAGATGATTGTGGATGTTATGAATGAGAAAAAGCTGGATGTCCTGGCTTTAAGTGAAACAAAGCTGAAGGGGGTGGGAGAGTTTCAGTGGAGAGGAATAAATGGGATTAGGTCAGGGGTTTCAAATAGAGTTAGAGCTAAAGAAGGAGTAGCAATAATGTTGAAGGATAAGCTATGGCAGGAAAAGAGGGACTATAAATGTATTAATTCAAGGATTATGTGGAGCAAAATAAAGATTGGATGTGAAAAGTGGGTTATAATAAGCGTGTATGCACCTGGAGAAGAGAGAAGTGTAGAGGAGAGAGAGAGATTTTGGGAAATGTTGAGTGAATGCGTGGGGAGTTTTTGAATCAAGTGTGAGAGTAATGGTGGTTGGGGATTTTAATGCTAAAGTGGGTAAAAATGTTATGGAGGGAGTAGTAGGTAAATTTGGGGTGCCAGGGGTAAATGTAAATGGGGAGCCTTTAATTGAGCTATGTGTAGAAAAAATTTGGTAATAAGTAATACATATTTTATGAAAAAGAGGATAAATAAATATACAAGGTATGATGTAGCACGTAATGAAAGTAGTTTATTAGATTATGTATTGGTGGATAAAAGGTTGATGGGTAGGCTCCAGGATGTACATGTTTATAGGGGGGCAACTGATATATCGGATCATTATTTAGTTGTAGCTACAGTTAGAGTAAGAGGTAGATGGGAAAAGAGGAAGGTGGCAACAACAAGTAAGAGGGAGGTGAAAGTGTATAAACTAAGGGAGGGGGAAGTTCGGGTGAGATATAAGCGACTATTGGCAAAAAGGTGGCTAGTGAAAAGAGAGTGGGGGGGGGTTGAAGGGGGTTGGAAATTTTTAAAATGCAGTATTAAAATGGGGGCGGAAGTTTGGGGTTATAGGAGGGTGGGGGCAGGAAAAAGAGGGTGATTGGGGAATATAAAGAAAAAGGGTGTATAAAAGAGAAAAAGGTGCTTATAAAGGGGTTTTTTAAAAAGCAAAAGTTTTAAAAAGAGAGAGTTATGGAGAGTAAAAGAAAGGTAAAGAGAGTGGTGAAGAGTGCAAAAGGGAGAGATGATAGAGGGGAGGGCACTGTCAGAAATTTTAATGAAAATAAAAAAAATTTTTTTGGAGCGATTTAAAAACAAGTTAAAAAAAGCCTGGGGGAAAAATGGATTTGTCATTAAAAACGAGTAGGGGAGTTAGTAATGGGGAGATGGAGGTTTGGGTAGATGGCGAGAATATTTTGAGGAACTTTTAAATGTTAAGGAAAAAACAGAGGCAGTTTTTCATGCACTGGTCAGGGAGGTATACCATCTTTTAGGGGGGGAAGAAGAGCAAAAATGTAAGTGTGGGGGAGGTAGTGAGGTTAGTAAAATAAAAGGGGGGGTTAAAGCAGGGGGAACTGATGGGATCATGACGAAATTTTAAAAGAGGGGGGGATATATGTTGGGGGGTTGGGTATTTTGTTTAAAAATTATGAAAGGGGAAGGTACCGGATTGCAGAGAGATGATAGCCCTTTATAAAAAGGGGAAAAGGGGAAAAAAGACTGAAAAATTACAGAGGAAAAGTTTTACTGGTATCCCGGGAAAAGTGTAGGTAGGGTTAAAATTTGAAAGAATTTGAGGAAGACAGAATGTAGGATTCGGATGACAAGGAGGTTTTGAGTGGGGGGGATTGTGATCAGGTGTTTACATTGAAGCATTATGTGACATATTTAGATAAAGAAAGGGAGGTTTTTTTGCATTTATGGATTTAGAAAGGCATATGTAGAGTGGATAGGGAAACAATGTGGCGTGTTTCAAATAATGGGGAAAAGGTGGTAAGTTATTAAATGTGTAAAGAGTTTTTATGAGGATAGGAGGCTCAGGGGTTTGGGTGTGTAGAAAAGAGGGGAAAATACTTCCGGTAAAAGTAGGTCTTAGACAGGGTGTGTATGTCACCATGGTTGTTTAATATATTTTAGATGGGGGTTTTAAAGGAAAATAAAGCTAGGGTGTTTGGGAGAGGGGGGGGATTTAAAATTTTGGGGAATCAAATTCAAAAAAGGGAATTTACACAGTTACTTTTTGCTGATATACTGTGCTTATGGGAGATTTAAAGAAAAAATTTCAAAGGTTAGTGGAGAGTTTTTTGGGAAAGTGTGTAAAGGTTGAAAATTGAAAGTGAACATAGAAAAAAAAGTAGGGGATGGGGTGTCAAATGATTTAGATAAAGAAAAATTGGATATCAAATTGGGGGGAGGGTATGGAAGAAGTGAAAGTTTTTAGAAATTTTTGGGGTTACGTGTCGGCGGATATTTTGAAGGATGAGGTTAAACATAGAATGATGAGGGAAAAAAGGTGGTGGTGCGTTGAGGGATATGTGGAGTCAAAAAAAGTTATCTATGGAGGCAAGAAGGGATGTATGAAAGTTATATACCAAACTCTTATATGGGTGGAAGCTTTGGGGGGTAAATGCAGCAGCAAGGAGACGGTTGGAGGGAGGGAGATTCCCGTCTAAGGGGAATG